AGTTTAACTTTGAAAAAAACATATATCGAGACTTTATGGCGGGTTTTTCCCCATACCACTTAATTATAATTGGTTTATAAACATTATTTTAAACATTATGCACTTTTTTCACAGATAGTCGTTATCTTATGCTTTGAATAAACGTGTATTAGTAATATTTTGCTCGATGCGCCCTCTTGTGGCCTCAGAAGAGAAGCCAAAAGCTATTCTTCACCATAACTGAAATTATGCATTTTAAATTCGAATATAATTCGAATTTTGATAATATTTAAGTACAAAATTCGAATTTAGTTTTTCAGCCATTTTGACAGCCCTATCATGTGACACTAAAGACTGAAGTAATGGTTGCTAAAAATTCAGCTTTGCCATCACAGAAATAAATGATATTTTAAAATATATAAAAATAAACAACAGTTGCTTTACATCGTAATGCTGCCTTGGTGAGCATAAAATACTTTTTTCAAAAACTTTTTTTCATAAACCTTGTAACATCAGATGGAACAACTGACTAAAATATCCAAATACAATTCTGCCACAAGCCATGAGCATCCACACACCAACACAAGTCTTTGAAGGGGCAAAGAAGTCTTGTAGTGAATGTTTGACTTGAACTGACAAAACATGGCCAAGGCAGCATCGTATGTCTCACACTATAATATAGAAATCAACAGAGAAACACTAGACGGATAACAAGTGAGGTAGAAGATTGAAGGTCAACAGCATCAGACAGCACAGTGACTGTGATATTGAAGACCTTGCGAACGTTCTGGAGATGAAAAGAGATTAAATTCTAGGATGTGTGAAGGCTGTCTGAATGAGAGAGGGAGAACTTGATTGCGCTTGACAGAACCTGGAAGTCATTTGAAAGGGTTTGTTATTTAGAGTGGCTGGAAATCTCCTTAATGGTGTTGAGCCTCACCTTGCGGTCTTCTTTGAACAGCTCAGCTGCTGTGGTGAAATGAGGGACGGCGTTCTTGCAGTGCGGACACCCTGGGGAAAACAGTAAGATATAAGTATTCATCGAGCTGTCTCACCTTATAATGCCAAGAACAAACGGCAAGAGGTGATATATCCCAGCGTACACAAATAGACGAATACAGAGATGAATACTAAAGCAAAAGAACAGCACACAATGACTGAATTCTTTACAAATAAAAAGACATTACTTCCACGACAATAACTTAAGAAAAACAAATACACACGTAATCTATTACTGCCTGCATAGAGCAGGTTAAATTGACAGAATTCAACTTTATAGCATGTCAAAAGTCACTTTATTATTCTCATAGACGGCCCAGTGGGGGCTTTCCTGAGGCAATGTGTGTCCATCAAATTTACTAAAGAACAGGCAAGAGTTTCTACCCTCCTTAGTCATAACTCCTAAAGTTCTTATGAGGTGGTTTTGATGCTAAGGGTGTTATTCTTATAAATTATGCATGGCATTTGGAGTTAAATGTTTCAAATGAACAACTTCCATCGAATAAACAGCTGCCTAAAGCTAAAAACTTGCCAAATGGCATGGCTACACAGCTATGGGACAACCGTCTCATTACTGTGCTGGTTTAGGTTGTCACGCAATCTTGTTTGCACACACTTGTGCTATTTTACGTTACGAAATGAAAGTTATTCAAGTAAGTGAGTTCACTTTGGAAACTGGTGACTTTTAAATGGCAGTTAATGGCACGGTCATAATTTGCAGGGCAGCAAACAAAGGCCTGTTTGTGTGAGGAACAAGGGGTCTAATTTAAGACGCACGAGGGTCATTATAAATAATGGAGCATAAAGTTGTGTACCTTCCCTTTTGGCTCATGTTACCATTATATGAGAAGAATAAAGGCTGGGCAGGCCTCCAAACCCATGCGAGGTCGATGCGAGTCTGTCTCAGTGCCCAGCTAGATACGCTAATCACAAAGTCAAAGCGTGGGCAGAAGCTGTACTTAAAATAACAGTGCATAATCATTTTTCATCATATGCAAAAAGAAATTTGGGGTGCGTTTCAATCGACTTTCTAGTCGAGTTGTTGTTGCCCTGGGAACAATTTCTAGGGCAGTCCAAGTGTCAAAATCAGTCCAGTGCACTGAAACGTTTGCTCCCTAGACATTCCCAGAATGCACTGGAGATGTACTGACTTGACACTGACATCTGACAGAAGGGAGTGGCTTGTGAAAACTAAAGCCCTCGAGTCTGCTTGATAACCTCTGATAAGAACATCTTGTTTCAACTATCATGCTCGCTCCAGAGAGTTACCACTATTATCAGGGTAGCTAGGTGATATTTAAACCTTCAGTTCTGTACAAATGCAAAGACCTGCCCTATCATTAAGAAGAAAGTTGCTTCACAGCGATGAAAGCTGCCCACTATAACGTTCATCGAATGGTGCCGTTCACCAGAACAAAGCAACACTGATGTAATCATTCATTAAAGCTCTGCATAGCTCTGTTTTAAATGGGCAGCACTATTCACACCATCATTTGTGCCACTAATGAACTGTTTTGATTAACAGTCTTTAATACCCAATACAAAAGCTTTGTTTGTCATTTCCGTTTGTATTACACCTAAAAAGAAGCTGTAATTAAAGGATCCAGTGAGACTGAGAGGTCAGTAGATGTGGAGTATGACACAATACAGTCTAATGCCAAATAATTACAGCATTGTTCATTGAGTACATGCTGCAATTAAGTTACAAGCCTAAGTTATGATAACAAAAAAGGGAATATCAATATGAAATTATGTTCTCAAATGTGTGCACAACCAACAGTGGTGCTGCACAGACAGAAAAAAAGTCCAATGAGCGATGCAAATTTTAGCACAAGTCAGCTGTTATTTAAAGGGGGAAAAACATATCCAGATCATTTTTTACGCCAAAATCCAAAAATACATAAATTGAAAAATACATAATTAAATGGATTACATAATTATATAATTCGTATATACTAAAATAAATAAATAAATAACACACAGAAAATGGGACCATTATGTTTTTTTTACATTGTAACGTTATTTTACGTTAAGTACATTTTCCCATCAATTTTCATTACTGCAATGCATCTGGATATATTTTAACAAGTATAGGAGTTAGTAAGGCCAAGTACACTACAGAACATTGTTTTATGTCATGTTGGTACAAACTTTACTCAACGAACGGCAGAGAACGTGCATCAAATTACAAGATCAGTCTCCCTGTCTATTCCTATGATCCTGAGATTTGTCTGCACACAAACTCAAGCACATAGCAACACTACCATTTTTGACAACGTCAACAAACAACACGAAGGAAGAAAAAGGAGAAAATTATGCCAATAAGATGAGACAGTGTTGGGGGAGAACGTGGGCAGCAGTTTGATGTTTTGTTTTTGGCTCCTGCTTCCCACTGTCTAGCCCTCATCTTGCAATTTCATTGGCTGTTGCTCATCGCTGCTCTCTTGCTAGTGACAATGCGCAGACCTGACGGCTGGTTGGCCAGAGTGTCACAACGAGTTGGCTACTGTCTGGGGCTGTTTGTCGCAGATGTACAATATACAAGAGAAACAAGCTTCAGTCTTGTCATATGAACTTAAACAAATATCTATATCTCTATATATACAGTATCTCACAGAAGTGAGTACACCCCTCACATTTTTGTAAATATTTTATTATGTCTTTTCATGTGACAACACTGAAGAAATGACACTTTGCTACAATGTAAAGTAGTGAGTGTACAGCTTGTATAACAGTGTAAATTTGCTGTCCCCTCAAAATAACTCAACACACAGCCATTACAGCCGTCTAAACCGCTGGCCACAAAAGTGAGCACACCCCTAAGTGAAAATGTCCAAATTGGGCCCAA